TCTAATGATACTGCAAAATCAATTCACCATACTTGCTATGGTATTGTAGAGCTATGTAAATATTTATTAGCAACAAGTCATGATTACGTTCTTCTTGGTATGTTTACAAGTGACCACTTAGAAAAAGAATTTGGGAAATTGAGCTTCTTGTACATATGTTTTATGTGAAGCAGGTTGTGAAATATTTGACAATTTAGAAAAACTAGAGTTATCAATTTTAGATACTACCAAAATTTATATTGCTGGTTACGTATCTAGAAATGAATATAATGAAAACAATTTGTTCAACCAAACCATACAAAACCAAACCAAATTTTATTATGAAAAGTTTGGTGAGTATCTCAAGTCTATAGATCGTGGTGGTCTTAAAATTCCACCAGACAATGTTTGCCAATGGGTTTTTTTTATTATTAAAAAAACCCATTGGCCTTATTCCATTCAATAAAAGATAAAGTTTATCGTAAATCCTTAAGTGACATTTTTCTGCTGGTTTATGAATTTTACTACTTTGAAATTAATCAAAAACATTGCAACACACTTGCCAATATATTTTTAAATAATTTTTGTGCACAAACCACACCAAGATCTAATAAAGAACCTGCATTAAAAGTTTTAAAATTATCATAAATTTGTTTAGAAAATAATGATTTGTATATGCTGTTGTTAAAATATATGCAAATATTTTCTTTGTTTTAATTTTTTTTTTTAATTTTAAATTTTAACTTTTTATTACATTTTAATATAAATATTTCTAAATAAACTAATTAAACTCATTAAAAGTCTTATTTTGACTCCAAAATATAATTTTATAGCTGAGTTGCTGATAATCCGTAAAAATAATAGGCCCCCAGTCGCGGCTTACGGTTGCGCGATGAATAGGCCTTCAGTATAGAGCGCCATGTCTCTAACACAACGCATTAATATTGTTTTAAAAGAATCAGCGCAAGGGAACCAATAATCTCCTACTTCTATTTAAAAGAAAAACTTAGCGTTACACTTTATGAACGACCCCTCAACAGAATAAAAAATCATTCGAAATAATTGAAACAAAGCGTTATGTCAGATCTCGATTGAACACAAGAAAGTATGTGACCAAGCTGTACTGAAGTTTATTGTTGCAGATGGACGTTCTTTCGAGACTTCGGCTGGTAAGGGTTTTATAAAATTGTGTTCGACTCTTACTAATCAAAATTATAAATATCCCCATCCATCTACGCTTTTACGTAAGATAAATGACTTAAAAACAATTTTAGAAAGTAAATTTAAAACAGTAGTACTTGCAGAAATGTCAGGTTGTAAATGTTCCATTACATTTGATCATTGGAAAGCTGCAAATAATAGTAACTTTAGTTTTAACGGTTCATTATATATCTCTAACAGAATGGAAGCTAAAATCGCGTTTTTTATCTGTGGTAAATCTTGAAGATAATGATGCAGATTATAATTCTCAAAAAACAAAAGAGATTATTATAAATCAATTGCAAAGTTCAAATATTGTAATAGACAACGTTCTATTTACTATCACAGACACGACAAATGCAACGCCTGCCACTGCTAATCTTTTAGGAATTACATGGCAGCCATGTGCTGCACATGTTCTTCAATTATGCATTAAGAGTAATTTAAATGTTTAACAACAAGTTAAAAATCTTATTAGTTTAGTGCACAAAATTGCAGGTTTTTTCAACAGTTCTTCTGCAGTTCTAAAATATTTAAAGAAATATCAACTTGAAAAAGGACTTCCAGAATCATGTCCACCACTAGATATTGTTACTAGGTTTAACAGTACATTTAAACTTCTGAATTGATCATGCAGAAATTGTACTGCAATAACAATTGCTCTTCCGGAATGCACTTTAAGTGTTAGATGCGCATAAGCTCCTCCTCATGCTTTATCGGCAACGATGAAAGATATTCAAAAAAAGTGTATTCCATTTTTAAAACCAGTTTCGGACGCAACAACGCTATTGAGTTTTGATACTACTACAGCTATCAGTTTAGTTAAACCTTGCATTTATACTTTAAAAGTTCAATTAGATTCGTTAAATTGTAGCTTTATGAGCAGCTTTAAAAAGGAGTTACTTTCACAACTACATGCACGCTTTAATTTACAAAATGTTACGCTCTTAACCTCAACATATTTAGATCCTAGATTTAAAGCCGTAATTCACACAGAAAACGAGATTTTAATTGTGAAAAACTATCTAATTGAAACTTCCGTTGATTTTAAACCATGCAAAACTACTTCTTGCGTAAATTCTATCAATGAAGTAAAAGTTGAAAACTTATCTAAAAGTTTATTTGACAATGTATTTAAACAAGTTAAGGAAAAAGAATCTAAAAATAAAAATTTTTACAACTAAATTCTGCAAAAAGACACATTGAAAATTGCGTTTTTACGGAAATGGATATCTACAGCTGTTTGCAAACCATAAATAGTGATAATTGGCCACTTGAATTCTGGAAAAAAAAAATTATATTTTCTCTGTTCTTTTGCACACGGCTCGATCTTTATTACCTATACAAGCAACAAGTTGTTTATCTGAACAAGTCAACTCAACTGGTGGAAATGTAATCTCTATCTAATAATAATGCTGAAACCTTGATTTGGGCGCAAAAAAATAAAGACAATTTTTTTTAAGTCTTTTTTATCCAATCAAATAACGATGTCTTATTTCTTTTTTACTTTTTACTTTAAGTTACTTTAGGGGAACACAATGCAAATGTCTTTGTTTTTAAGTGTCTTTAAATAACTTAAAACCATTCCAAGAAAATTGACAGGCGAAATATAAAAATAAAAGAACAAACGGAATGTGAAGACTTTGGCTTCACATTCCGTTTATTCTTCTATTCCGTTATTCAAAATGAAATTTTTTTTTTGAAATCTGTTACAAAAAAAATGCTTAGATTTCCTTATATTTAATTATAAAAACTTAGATTTAATTATAAAAAAAATGCTTAGATAAGGAAAAATGCTTAGATTAGGAAAATGCTTAGAAAAGTTTAGCATTCCTCAAAATGTTGATTCGATTCCTGATTCGAATTGAGAATCAAGACTTCCTTTGATTCGGTATTCAATTCGAAAAAAAAATGCCGATTCGCATAGGAACTTGGACTGCTTTCCAAATACTTGTCTGGATTATTAAAACAATATCACGGTAAGTGTAACTAAAATAACACGGTAAGTAAAACTATATATTTAACCTAAAAAATCGATAAAAAGTTACCTTGCATAACTTCTGCTCTGAACAAATCATTTTTAATCTTAAATTCTCATAACTCTCAACAAACATAACCTCAATTTATGTTTCATCACACCTTTAAAGGTTATAACCTATAACCTTTCAAAGGTTATAATCTAACCTAGCACTCTCTAACTAAAGCCAAACATTGCTTTTTAATGGATGGCTTTTGTTACCCCTTTTCCAGGGGTAACTAAAGCCACCATTTTTTTTATTAAAAAAATGTATATTTCTGCAATTTATGAATATATTTCTTTAATATATGGCTACAGACCCAAGTTTTGCAATATTTATTTAACCTATAAATTAAAGGGTCTGACTTGGGCAGAAGTTTGAATTTCGAAAGTGGCTTTAGTTACCCCCATCTACGGTAACTTATTAAAACTTAATAACCAAACTCAATTTTTCATTTATTTAAAAATTGTATAGATTATAGTTTATAGATCATAGATTAAAGAATATAAAAAATATCTTTAAACGATAAATAACTACGCAGTGGCTACGGGTACGTCTAGACGTATTCCTAAAGGTAGGTTTCCATATATCTAAAATGGTCGTGCGACAGTCGTGCGACTGTCGCGCCATAGGTGTCGCAGAGATAGAAAAAGTTCTCTCTACGACAATTGTCCCACAACCCTACAATGCGATTGGTTGAATATTAGAAAACGAAATATTAATTAAAACAAAAAAAAATTCACATCGAAATAAAATGGAAAATAATCAGGAAAGATTTTAGTAAAGAGTGTTTCATGCAGGAAGTAAAGAAATATTCTGTACTATATGACTAATTCGATACAGAATTTAAGAACAACGTTATTAAAAAAAATGTTTGGGCAGCAATAAGAGTTTCGTTTGGTTTAACTGACCAAGAGTGTAAATCGAAATACAAAAATATTAGGTCGGCTTATGTTCGCTTTTCGAGGAAAAAAAAAGTACACCTTCAGGTCAGGACGAATCAATATCAGCAAAGTGTACAATTTTTTGCAATGGTTAAATGTGTACATTGATCATAGAGAAATAACGACGACGAATCTTGGAGATAAAACAGCAGTAGAGATACAAAACAACAATAACAGAGGTATAATAAAAAATGTTGAAGAATTACCTTTGTCATGTATAAGTGATGAAAATGTGAATTATAATGAAGAACTAAGTAATCAGGAAGAACTAAGTAATCAGGAAGAATTAGAAAAAGAAACTTTAAATGACAATACAAGTGTGTTAACTTTGTCTAATACATGTAGGCCAAGTACATCTAGTAATCAACAAAAATCTTTAAATGAAATAACATCTCCTATGAATATAAGAAAAAAGAATTTAAAAAGATCTGATAAAAATACAAAACTAGTAGATGCAATACTCACTACTATGAGCAATACTAATGCAACATTAGGAGTTAGTTACTTGAAGAAAATGATGACATTACACATTTTTGTAAATCTATTTGTGCAACAATAAAGAGATTACCTCCTAAAACCCAAGCAGTTGCTAAAATAAACATTCAGCAATATTTAGCTGCTCTAGAATTTCCAGATATTGTTTCATGAAATATATTTGGCATCTAAATATTCTCCATTTAGGTACCATAATTCCAAAGGAGTTTTCAATTGTTCTTCTAGTCCTAGATAATCGATAGTTGAAATTACGTTCTTTGATTGTTAAGTTTTTACCAGAAAAAGGTTTCATTAACCAAGGTTTTATCGCAAAAATATTATCACCAACTAGCACTGGTGGTACTTGTGTGCCATTCGATAGCTGTCAGTTCTTGGGAAGTTTGAACAAATTATATTTAAAAGCTTTACCCATTTTACTTTCATTAAATATAGATGCATCATTATCTCTGCCATAGCTACCTATATCTACCAAAGTAAAGCAGTATTTTGCATCACATATGGCTAGCAAAACCATACTATGATAGTTTTTGTAGTTGTAGTAAGCAGATCCACTTGAAACAGAAGCTTCAATCCATACATGTTTGCCAACTATTGTCCCAATGCAATTAGGAAAATTCAACTCATTTTCAAATTCATTTGCTATTTTTTCCCACTCATCTGAACTTTCTGGTGCTTTTAAATAACTTGGTTGCAAAACATCCCAAATAGCCTTTGTTGTTTCATTGATTATGTTGCATACTGTTCTTCTGTCCAGTCTAAAATAAAAAGATTGTGTTTGTTATGAATCCCCAGTAGCCAAATATCTCAGGGTCACAGTCAATCGTTCTGAAGGTGATATAGTTTGACGGCTTCGACAAGATTTTTTTGTTATGCTAGGTGCAACCATTGACAGCAAGTGTTCATACCTTTCAGGAGACATTCTGTAAAATCTATAAAAAAATTCTCTGTCATGAAGGCGTAGCTCAGGAATTAGTGTGATAAATACTTTTTTTTCGCAATGATTTCTAAATAATGAGTGTATTCAAAATTTGTGTTTTCTTTTTTTCTTTACTCTTATTATATATATATATATATATACATATATATATATATATATATATATATATATATATATATATATATATATATATATATATATATATATATATATATATATATATATATATATATATATATATATATATATAATATTATTTTAGATATTACTAAATTGAAATACAAATCAAGTTAGTTAAAGTTAAGAGAAATTTTGTCAGAAAGAATTAAAGCTGAAGAAAAATAAATCTTCTTTCTTTGCTAGAAAAAAGTGTTTGGATTCTTGTTTCTTTGCAATAATAAATTGAATCTAAGTTTTATGCAGTAGACATTTTTAACTTGTTACTTTAAAATAATTTTTTGTAAAAACTACACTCCTACAAATAAAATAATAGAACAAAATTTATAAAAATAAAATAATGTAAGTCTTTATTACATAATCAGTATTTGTAACATTTTTTTATGTACTGTTTACATAGGTATAAACTAATAAAAGTAATTATGAGAAATATTTTTTATTTTACAAAAATATTTTTAGCTGATAATTAAAAAAAAACTTTATTTAAGAACGTATGTTTCATAAATTCAGTTACAGGTTCATAATAGTTTATTAAGGCATAAACGTATTAAAAAAATATAGAATTTACAACCAGTGTTGTGGCTAGTGAATCAGAGGCTCTTCCCAAAACATGTCATTAGGGCTAAAATATTTTGAAAATAATCTATTACTATGTATTACTTAAAGAAAAAGCTCCTTGATTTTTGAAATAAGACCTTAAAAATTTCAAAAAAAGCCCCTATAATTGCTGGGCCTCTCCCCAATTAGGTCATGCCGAGCATAGCCACTGCTTTGTTTTTGTTGTTTTAACAAAATTTTAAAAACGCTTCTAAAATTAATGGAAACAGCTGGGTCGTGCGACAAATATTGCAAAAGTTGTTGCGCGACAGTTGTCGCAAGACTGTCGTGCGACTATATGGAAACCAACCATAACAAGAAAAGTTAAAGATACGTCCAAACTTCCGGACGCAGTAGGAAAGCTTAGACTTATTCCTAACGAGATATGTCCAATTTTCCGGACGCGGTAGGAAGGTTTAGACGTATTCCTAACAAAAAAAGTTAAAAATTCGTCCAAACATTCGGGCGCGGTAGAAATATTTAGACGTATTCCTAAAGGTTGGTTTCCATATATCTAAAATGGTCGTGCGACAGTCGCACGACTGTCGCAGGACAGTCGCGCGACCATATGGAAACATAAGTTGTGCGACAAATTTTGTCTTGCAAGACTGTCTTTCGGTCGTGCCATAGGTGTCGCAGAGAAAAAATTCTATCTCTACGACAATTGTCGCGCGAACTTTAAATATGATTGATTGGTTATTTTGAAAAAACGGAATATTAAAAAAAAAAGGTTTTCACACATCAACATAAAATGGAACCTGAACAAGAAAGACTTATCGAAGAATTTAGCAAAGAAAGCTTTATGCAAGAAGTGCAGAAGTATCCTGTGCTTTACGACAAATTCAATGCTGAATTTGTCGTAAAGCACAGGATACTTCTGCACTTCTGTGTGCTAGTGCTGCTACATCGACTGAGGGTTTGGCATGGGGAAGCAACCTTTTTTCTTTTATTAGATCAATGTAGCAAAACCCCCTGGCAAAAATATAACTATTTTAGGCCGCGTAACTGTAAGATTACCAAAATAAATATTTAAGAAGTTAGAATAATTTCTTTTTTTTGTCAAAGAATACATAAAGTATTAGTTTAAAACAGTCGAATTACTGTCAAATTGTCAATTAAGTTTGTGAAAGTATTTTTTAGATTTGTTTATAAAAATAAACATTTTAAAAAATCTTAGTGTATTGTCAGCACATGTACACTATATTGCTGATATATTTTATCACTTTATGTAAATTAGATCGATTGCTAAGTTTTGCTACTATTACGTAGAAAGCTCGCTTAAAAAAATACAGTTTGACGTAGCAGTAGGAGGTTCAACGAACCCGGCTTCATGAAGTATATCATAATACTTTTTTAAGCATACATTGACTAGCAAGACTTTAACACGACTTTAGCGCGTTCCTGAAGTCTGAAGTCCTTATTTAACGTACCCTGCATATTATATTCAAAATTTGCCCATTAGGCCTTTACCAAAAATCTAAAATCGGACCCCCAACGACAATGCTACGTATCTTTGCTTCAGAGACCGCTACATTTAGAACAAAAATTATAAATTACTAAAATTACTAAAACTACCAAAACCTTGTTTATGCAAAACAACTAAATTCAATAAGTATTAAATATTCCATAAATATTTTATAAATAGTAATTATATACATAAATATACATAAATAAGTTTTAAAAACTCTTTTTAATATTACAGTTAATATTAATAAAAAAACATGTAAATAAATGAAGTTTATTGCTAAATTTAACAACAATCTACCAATAAATTTAACAACAAGCTACTTTATCTACCAATAAATTTAACAACAATCTAGTTTATCTACGGATAAATTTAACAACAATCTACTTTATCTACCAATAAATTTCAAGATTCAGGATTCAACAGGCAAGTGCTACAGTACCAATTTTTGTTTATCTTGGATGTCACCTTTACACAATTAAAGTGATACCATTCAAGGCAACTGCTACACTCAATCGATTCTGTAGGAGCATTAAGAATACAAATTAAACAATTCCAAATTTTCATAGTTTTGCGTTTTAAAATAAAGACTCTTAAAATCTTCCACGCTTGTGCTGTAAGAAATGACTTTAGAATTTCAAAAACAACTATCTCATTCATTAGAGATGATGGAAGATCCTTAGTATCTAATTTAAGATCTATAGTATCAGCAGGTGTTACAACTGTAACATCATTGAGTCTTCCTCCTTTTAGCAAACGCCGCAACAAAGCTAAAAAATAAAGAAAGATGGAATTAGAATTTAAATTCATCATTATTTGTAAAAAACAATATAAAGTTTGTTAGAGTATTTTCAATCAGTGATTTCGTTATCAAAGTCTAACTCAATTATAGGTATTTCTTAAAATTGTGTATTTTTTTAAAGGTTTCTAAAAGCAAATTCGTGATTATTATCATATTAAAATCTAGATACACTAAAAAGAAAATCCAAATGTTGATGAAAAAATATAAATAGATAAATTCATTAATATTGAATTCTGAATTTAAAAAAATTGACAGAATACAAATTATAAATATAACAGTTTACACTCTGAATCTAAGCACTTATAAACACAGTAGTAGTGATAAATCAGAACAGTAGTAGTGATAAATCAGCTGCCATCTTTCTTCTTAATTGCGAGGCCTGGAGTTAAAATAGCCTTGGTGAAATTATACAAATTATCTGCAATCTTTATTTTTGATATTAGTTATCATCAACTTTAAAATTGCGTTTCAACTAATGACTTATTTCAATTATATTACAGTTTATTTTGTCAATATAAAATTTGAAATTTATTGGTTCCAATTGGCTAGTTACCAACTTTTGTTGGAGACAGAACTCATAATTTTAAACTATATAATAGATCAGTCTTTGTGAAATTATTGACTTTCTCTATCGTGACTTACCCTAACTCATGACTTCTCATTGAGATTAACTTGTAAAGTTGAAAAAAAAAAAAAAGTAAATTAAACAGTTCATAAAATCAATTGATTATACCAATGCCAGTTTTAAATTTCTGATTGATGACAAGTAAATAATAATGTATACTTACTATGAACTTTTTCTTTAACAGTCTTCTGTTTGTAAGGCGAGCAGATCTTCTGAACTTTACGCATACCAACACCTTTTTTTTCCTTATTGACTTAGGACGCCCTCTTGATACAAACTTGGATGAAAATTGAATTTGGGAGAAATCAAGTTGGTTCTCCGGTACTTTAAAATAATCACATGATTATTCTAAAGATTTTTTGAATTATCTAAACAACCCATTTGATTGAAATTTATAATTTCTTTTTTATGTTTATGTTTCCTTTCTAAATTCTAAAAATAAATGATCATTAACAAATGATTCTATCCTAAGTGTTTGTTTCATATAACATCTCTCAAAGGGACTCCCTTTTAGCAGGGGTCCTGGTCCCGGCCCCTGCGAACCCGGCCCTGGCCCCAGCAAAACCATAAGATCTATCAGAGGTTAATAACGAGGGTTAAAAAAAAAATTTAATACTTAATATATTATAATTTTGTGCTCAGATTTACTACTTATTAAATACTGGAATACATTTATATATTTTTTAACTCTTATTTACTTCCAACAAGATTGAAAGCAACCACTATTAACTTATGAGTTACTTTAAAATAGAAAATAAGTTAAAATACTAGGAAATGTATAACTGAAGACTTTTAAGGAATAAAACCGGATTAATAAAAGTTTTTATAGCATGAAGGGACAAATACAGTAAAAGGATGCAACTTTTTGAATAAAAAGCCAAGCAAGAATGTATTTTGGTTTATTTTTATAGAGATAAAAGCTTGAGTCAATAGTCAAACAAGCTTTAAGTCTTTGTGATGTAATTGCGTAATTCCGGTTCACGGTTATGTTGAATAAAGAAACGTGCAAGTGAGTTTCCATTTAGGTCGGGACATTATATTGAGAGACACGAAGCAAGAACTTTACTTGTAGTGTGGTGTTATAAATAAATTACATATTGAGTTATTACTAAGATTTGTTATTATATTCAGTGGTGTTATTGTTACTATTAGGTTATAACAATTGGCGACGAAGATAAAAAAATGATGCATTTATCGAATATATCTTGCTTGGATTTAGAAAATGACGATTTTGTAGAATATGTTGAAAGATTTGACAATTTTCTACTGGCCAATGACATAGAAGATGCTGAAAAACAAAAAGCTGTATTTTTATCAACCATAGGAGGACCTGCTTACAAACTTATCCGAAGTTTATGTGAAAATGACACAAAGAATAAGAGTTTTACTCAAATAGTTAAACTAATGAAGGACCATTTGAAACCGATACCAAACTCCATTGCACAGCGTTTTCAATTTTATAAAAGAGATAGAAAAGATGAAGAATCTGTAAGCGGGTATATTACTGAATTACGTAGACTATCTGAACACTGTGAGTTTGGTGAAAACTTGATTGATTATTTAAGGGACAGGTTTGTTTGTGGATTAAATAATGAAAATGTGCAACAAAAATTATTTACCATAAAAAATCTAACGTTGGAGACAACACTTGACACAGCGAGAGCATATGAGACAGCATATAAAGATACCAAAGCTATACGTACAAAAGAAAGCTTTATAGAGCAGGATGAATTGCATAAAGTAGAAATTTGGACAAAATCAGAAGAAAGTAAAGAATGTTTTCGTTGTGGGTTTAGGGCAAACACCAAGCAAACAATTGTAGTTATCGTTATTTAAAATGTCATACATGTGGAAAGATGGGGTACATAAAGAAAAGTGCAGATCAGAAAAGAAAGAGTTAGATCATAGAAAGGAAAAAAAATTAGGTGTGAAGAAAATTGGGATTCAAGATGAATCAGAAAAAGGATGTACTGCTGATACAGAGTGAAATAAAGATGATTTTCTAGCTCTATATGCAATAAGTGAAGAGTCCGATAAAGTGACTGGACCAGTTATGGTTAACGTAAAAATTAATGGAAGTGAATTTTCTATGGAAGTGAATACAGGGGCAGCTGTCTCTGTAATGAGGATCTTACGAGAGAATAAAGAAGAATGAAGGAAAATTACAAAATTCTGGTGTTGTTTTGAAAACCTACACAGGAGAGCTGATTAGACCGGAGGGAATAGGGTTGGTTGAAGCAGTGTATAATGGACAATGTTGTAAGTTGCCTATAACTGTAGTAAAAGGAAATGTGCCCACATTAATGGGTAGAGACTGGATGCAGCGTTTAAATCTGCAATGGTTAGAACTGTTTAAAAGAATGAGAGGAATTAATTTCTGTGATAGGGTTGATTCAAGAGTGAAGACATTAGTAGAAAAATACCCAGAAGTATTTAGTGACCATTTAGGGTGCTTGAAAAACTTCCAATGTCACATACCACTACGTGAGGGTGCAGAACCTAAGTTTTATAAAGCAAGACCAGTACCCTATGCTTTAAGGACTAGAATTGAACAAGAACTTGATTGCTTAGAAGACCAAGGAGTTTGGAGGAAAGTCCAGTATTCTAAATGGGCAGCCCCTATAGTGCCTGTTTTAAAGAATTCTAAGGATCCTACTGGTCCATTTAGAATATGTGGAGATTATAAGATTACAGTAAATCAAGTAGCCCCAGTTGACAGTTATCCAATACCGAATATCACTGATCAGTTAGCCACTATTGCAGGAGGAGAGAGATACACCAAGCTTGATTTGTCTCAAGCTTATCAACAATTGGAATTAGATGAAACTTCGCAAGAGTTTTTAACTATAAATACTCACCAAGGGTTGTATCAGCCGACTCGTCTTCAATTTGGTGTACATAGTGGAGGCTGGGCAGACTGTCATTTGTAAAAGTGCGAGTAGATGACATACTTATATCTGGGAAAACTGATACTGAGCATCTGAACAACTTAGAATCTGTTTTAAAAATTTTGAAAGAATCAGGACTGACACTTAAAGTATCTAAGTGCTCATTCATGCAACCTGCGGTGGAGTTTTGTGGATTTATAATTAGTCAGAAAGGTTGTAAACCAACAGCACGAAATGTGGAAGCAGTAATGAATGCGCCTCGACCCTCGAACATCAAGGAGTTGAGGGGATTTTTAGGAATGGCCAACTATTACAATGCCTACATACCCAGGATGGCTTCCATCACAGAGCCTCTCCATAATTTGTTAAGGAAGAACGTAAGTTGGGAATGGAATAGAAACAGTGAACAAGCCTTTGAAAGCGTAAAAACTATATTGTGCAATGCACCTTTATTAGCTCACTTTGACCCATCAAGGAAAGTCGTGGTTCACTGTGACGCCAGTCCATGTGGCGTAGGAGCCGTTTTGAGTCAACAACAGTATGATGGAAGTGAAAAACCTGTCAGTTTTGCTTCAAGAACATTAAATATGGCAGAGCGAAATTATGCACAAATTGAAAAGGAAGGATTAGCATTAGTTTTTGCTGTAAAAAAATTTCATCAGTTCTTATTTGGACAAAAATTTACATTGTATACAGATCATAAGCCCCTATTAGGACTATTTTCAGAAAGCAAAGAACTTCCTACAAGAGCTGCTGCTAGAGTGTTACGCTGGGCTTTGCTATTGTCAGCTTATGATTACCAATTACTATATTGTCCTGGCGAAAAGAACGCAACTGCAGATGGTCTAAGCCGTTTACCTTTAGATGTATCAAAGGAAAAGTCAAGGTTAAAAACCATAGAGGTGGCTATGTTGGAACTAGTAAAAACCCCAATTACAGAAAAACAGTTAAGAGGAGTTACCCAAAACGATCCAATATTAAGAGTGGTACTGAATAGATTGTTAGAGGGAGGGTTGACGATGGAACCGTGTAAGTTGGAGATGAAACCATTTGCATTAAGGTTTTCTGAGTTATCAACGGAAGGAGGTTGTTTACTGTGGGGAAGAAGAGTGATAGTGCCAAGTGTCTTAAGAGAAACGGTACTTGAGGAATTACATGAGGTGCATCCCGGAATAAGTAGAATGAAGGCTTTAGCAAGAAGCTATGTTTGGTGGCCTAGCATTGACACAGAAATAGAGGATAAAGTAAAGAATTGTGAGACATGTCAAAGAAGTCAGAAGAATCCATTAACCTGGTCTCATCCTTGGGAATATCCAAGTAGACCATGGGAGCGACTACATATCGATCATGCAGGCCCAATAAATGGAAAAATATATTTGGTAGTAGTTGACATTTTTTCAAAATGGAATGAGGTGGAAGTAGTGCGCAGTACTGAAGCAACAATAAAAGTACTCAGAAAATTATTTTCTACCCATGGTACACCGCGAGTGATTGTTAGTGACAATGGATCTGGATTTTCGAGTGAAGAATATAAAGAGTTTTTACATTTAAATAAAATTAAACCAGTGTATTCTGCACCATATCATCCTGCTTCAAATGGTCAAGCAGAACGAATGGTTCAAACATTTAAGAATTCAATTAAAAACTTTCAAGGAAATGATATCGAGATACAGTTATGCCGATTTCTTTTTAAATATCGTGTTACACCTCATTCTACAACTGGAGTTTCTCCAGCTGAACTTTTATTGGGTAGAAGATTGCGAAATCCGTTGTTGATGCTACATCTTGAAGTTAGCTCTCGAATCAATGAAAAAAGGTTGTCAAACAGTTCTGTGGATAAAGTTCGTTTTTTTCAACCAGAAGACACGGTTTACGTCAAAAATTATAGTAGAGGTGAAAAGTGGATTGCAGCTATAATTATATCAGCAGTTGGGAATATTAGTTACAAAGTGTTAACGTTAGATGGTCGTATCCAGATGAGACATGTGGACCAAATTGTAAATCTTTATGTGGGAAAGGTTAACTCTACTAAAACACCAGAAAGCATAAATGCTCCAATTCTGAGCAATGCTGATAAACCAAATGAAGTGATTGAAACTCCATGTTCAAGCGAAATCTTGAGTGAAAATCGTGATGAGATTAGCATGGATGTTGAGCCCGAGAAACTGTGAACAGCCTGGTGCTTTTTCTGAACCAACCTCTTCAATTAACTGAAGATCAGGTCAAGTACGTCGTAAACCATCTTATTTAGAGCAGTACGAATGATTTATGGGTGAAGGATTGATGTAATTGCGTAATTCCGGTTCACGGTTATTTTGAATAAAGAAACGTGCAAGTGAGTTTCCATTTTGGTCGGGACATTATATTGAGAGACACGAAGCAAGAACTTTACTTGTAGGGTGGTGTTATAAATAAATTACATATTGAGTTATTACTAAGATTTGTTATTATATTCAGTGGTGTTATTGTTACTATTAGTAACAATAATACCACTGTTATAATACTTTGAACATCTAAAAGCACATTGTAAGTGTAATTAGACCTGCTTTATCTGCCAAGCTTGTGGTACTCTCCCATTGTTGTAAGGTCTTATTACACTTACAATGTGCTTTTAGATTGTTGTTCAAAAACTTAAAAGTGATGGCAAATAAAAAATAGTTTTGGATATTTTATAAAACTGGTATAAAGAAAACTTAGAACAAACTTTTATTTCAAAAAGGTGTTTTTTAATAACAAGAACAAACCTTTAAATTAGAAATTTAATGTTAGCAATAACAAAAACAAACTTATAATTTAGGAATATAATGTTTGTAATAACAAGTGCTAGCTCTTTATTTAGAAAAATAAACTTAGATATCCGGTATTTTGAGATTGTGAATCCATTAGGAAGCAATTGTTGATTAAATAAAGAGGGTGAAGGTTGTCTACCATTGCTGTTTACTGAGAGTTTAAAATTTTTTTTTTGCTCTGGGCCTTTTATCCAATGGGTTCCATCTACTAGTGTTGCTAAATTATTTCTTTGAGAAACACCATTACTTTATCCTATCTAGCTAGTTCTACTGCAGTTTGTTCTTGACTGCATTTTGTCATGCTTTATTGTGATAGCTTTTTTGGTTTAGAACGTTGCATACTTGATTCTGTAATCGGTGCTGGTCATTGTCGCTTTCTGGTAAAGTTATTTCTTTTGCACTTTGAACATAGTAAATATGTTTTTAGACTTTGTCTGAGAGTAAGAGGGTTGTTATTTGTAAATATAGAATTGCCAACAATATTGCAATATTTTTTTGCAGTAAATAAATGAGATTTTTTTGCCTGTGGATTTTAAATCCAGAATTTACATCCATAAGTCGCTGGATACATTAGGCTCTTACAGAAGAGGGAGCAGATTTAAAATTGGCAGCTTGTTCTAAGCAATTAAAAAGTAAAATTTTTTTGTCAAGACAAGAGTATAAAGTTGAGTCACCAGCAAATTGAGCCACTTTAAATTTCACAAAGATCGTTATTGTATATGAGAAACAATACAGGAGCAAAAATAGAACCTTGTGGTACCCTTAAAGTTACTTAAAAAAAAGAAGAGGATAAAAAATGGTAATGGTAGAAGTAAGAACACTTGAAGAGATTGCCATACATATTGTATAAATGAGCTTTAGTTAAGAAATAATGATCATCATCAGCCTTAAGCCTTCCTCTTTCATGCTGTTGCTGATGATCATCATGATCATGATGATAATAATGATGATGATTTTAAATAAAATAAATATACTTTAGGGTGTTTAAATGTTTATGCAACTCCGGTCACAAACCTGGCATCCAACTATGCTTTATCAATCATTTACTAGCCTCAGGTAAGTCACTGGCAAAAATAGAACATTGGCCAGTAGCAAGTATGTATGTGTAGCAAGCAAGCAAGTATATCTTTCAGTGTGATGAAAGATGTGTTGTTCAATGGTGAATCAATGTGAATATTAGTTACTTGATTCAATATGCGAGATTGCTTAAAAGCCTAGTAGAAGAAAAACAAACATATTCTGCCTGAAAAAGATGTGTAAGAAAGGTGGCAGCTCTAAAATGATTGGATGGTAGTGGAATGAATGGTAAAACTGAAAAAACTTTGTTACATATGGAAAAAGTCTAGAAATGTCTTGGCTAACCTATTGAAAGAAAGCTTAATCACATAGGCAGAAGTTATTAGAAAAAATAGTTGACGCAGAGGAAAAAATATTCACAAGTATTCAGAGTTGCCAAGCAAAACATTTGGAAAAGTATACACATTGTTGGAGAAGGTTGTATTAAAATACTAAATAGAAAAATAGTTACAAAAACAGTTGCGTTGAAAACAAGGTAGATTGCTAAACAAAATGGGTATAATGAAAACAGTTTATCTGTTGTGAATAATGTTAATGGACCAGCAGAGCTAATAACCAGGAATGAACTGAAATAGCTTTTGGTACAGCTTTATTAGGCTAGCCTGTTGATTCTCCTGGTGTATCAGCTGAAATGTAGAGTTTCAAATGATGTGGGTGTAGAGTAAGTGTCACATGTCAGATGAATTACATTTAGGTTAAATCTCAAATGATTGTAAAAAAATCTAAATAAAAGTTTATAAAAGGTGAAAACGTACTAGAAATTGAAATAGATATATCAATAAACCACAGTTTGGTTTAAGACCATGAAGGGGAACAACAGATGCAATATTCATTTTAAGGCAAGTTTAAAAGATGTTTTTTAGAAAAGTAAAAAGATCAATAGATGTACCAAATGTGCCCAGAGTGAGTGAGAGATGGTAATGATTGTATTATGTATTAATTTTGTCCTATTTCTATTTTGTTTTAGTGAAAAAAATCTGATTTTTTATTTATTTACAATGTTAAAAAAATACAAGTTACATGTACAAAGTTACAAGAAATAAACATTGTTAAATTTAAAATACATTTACAAGGAACTATAAAGTTTTGAACTACGTTGCTTTCAACTTCACCACTGCAACCTGGACTTTCAAACTGTAATTGGAAATAAAACAGTTTATCTTCATAAGATAAATAATTTTAATAAGGAAAATAAATAAAAGTATACCATATCATTTGGAACTGCATTGCTTTCCGCTTCACTGAAACCTGGTCTTTCAAACTATAATTAGAAATAAAACTATTTACCTTAATAAAATAAACAATTTTAATAAAGAAAATAAAGGAAAATATACCGTAAAGTTTGGAACTGCAATGCTTTTAACTTCACTACTGCAACCCGCTCTTTCAAACTATAATTGGAAACAGTGCCGTGGCTAGTGGCTTTAGGCCCCCCCCCAAAAAAAAAACATTCCATTAGGGCCCCAAAGTTTTTTTAAATTACACTTTTTTTTTTTCAAAAAGCGCAAAGCGTATCTTTTATAATGCACCGAACATATTTTTAAGTAGTCGTTCACAAGAAAAAAAACAATAAAATTAACCCTTTAATTTAATTAAGTATATTTTATAATTGTTATATTTATTAAGAGTTTATAACAAAAAGTTTCTTTGACTACTATGAATGTATTAGGCATTCACAGGTCAAAAAAAAGGTTTGCGTCGTGTTTTCATACTTGCAAACTTATTTATTAGGCCTTCATAACTTAATTTCCTTGCCACCTCGTTCTCGATTGACAGCATTGCTAGGGAAGACAAACGTTCATTGACCATTGTTGACCTACATAAAGATACAAAGAAATATAGTTACTTGTGTTTACGTATAAGGAAGTAAGAGTATTTATACTGACCTATGAAAATTTTTAATTAATTTTAACTTGCTAAAGCTACGTTCTGCACTTGCAATAGTTACTGGAGAAGTAAGAATGATGCGTAACGCAATATCTAGATTAGGATAAGTTTCCTGCAGCTCTTCTTTGTAGACGTAGGTAAGGAAGTCATATGCAGATTTCAGGTTTGTATTTTTGTCCTCTTGTACAACTATGACAAATTGTTTCAACTCCATTTCCAAATCCTCAGAATCTATATCACCGAGCTTCGTTTGCAAATTTGTGCAAAATACAGTAAAAGAATTTTCATTACAGGCTTTGATAAGACTCTCAGACCGGTAAAGAAAGTCAAAAAGATTTGTGAAGATACTGACCTGTTTAAAACGCTCCTTTACTGATGCAATTGACACGCCAATGAATGGCAAAAAGAAATCTGCTTTATACTGATGCTCAGGTTGCCGAGTTTCATCAGCACACTCGTATGAATACATTTTTTTTTTTTTCGTAAGCGCACTGTTGGAAAAACCTTTTCAATGCCCAATTCTTCTGCAATTTCTTGTGCTTTAATATGTGCGTCAGTAAATCCAGTCATAAAGAATACTCATAAGAAATACTCATAAAGAAATGTATTTGTTGCTTTTATTTCACTAGCCAATATGTCAAGAGAGGTTGTAGAAGACTGAAGAAGCTTACTTGATTTGTTGATTTGAAATAAAACGTCATACCAAATAATGATTGATAATAAGAAAGGCCATGTCCTAATATATTCAATCAGAGATCGTACTTCTGTGGCTGTTGCCCCATCTTTCTTTTCAAAGGCATGTTTTTCCAATCTGTCGAGTGCCTCTAAAATTTCTTTCAGATAATAGCGAAGTGGTTTAACACAGTTTATTTTACTTTCCCATCTTGTATCTGATTGTGGTTTGACAGAAATTTCCACACACGATTTTAAAATTTCCCATCGAGGAGGAGACGATGAAAAGAGGGTATACAATCTTGTAAGAACTCCAAAAAAAGATATTGCACTGATAGATGACAGTGCACCATCAACAATAACAAGATTCAGTGAATGATTTGCACATGGAACATATATAGCCTTTGGTTTCATTTCTAGAAGCCTGGCTTGAACACCTTTAAGTTTTCCTTTCATGTTAGCACCATTATCATAAGATTGGCCTCGACAATCAAGAATATTTAGATCCCATTTTTTTGCCTGAATTAAAAAGGCATCCAAAAGCCCTTTTCCAGTGGTATCATTTACAGTGAGATATCCAAAGAAATTTCGGAAATGTTAATACTTACTCTAGAAGTACATGTCACTTAAAATTAAATCTTAAAATTATGCTTAAAATAAAAAGATCTTAAAATTATGCTCATTTGTTCTTTGTGCGAAACGTCTGGCGTGCAATCTAAAATAACCGAATAGTATTTTGCTTTTTTACCATAGAAAGGTTTTCTGATTCAATCTCCTGCGCTAAACATCTAATCAACTCGTTCTGTGTGTCATTGCTCAAATAGTGAGCGTTTGTTTTTTTGTCCTGAATTCTTAACAGAAGCTCCTTGAGGACGGCATCGTACTTAGCCAGTAATTCAAACACCCCAAGAAAATTTCCATTGCTCTTTGAACCTATTGCCGTGTCTGAACCACGGAATGCAAGATTTCTTGCTGAAACAAATAACGTAATGTCCAGTATCCTTTCCAATACAGATCTTCAAAATACCCGCTCTTTATGAAGCCACAGTCATAAAAAAAGCCACAAAAATAGGGTTGTTCGCCGATAAACAAAACTTGCGAAAATTTCGCATCTTTATCTACCGTAATAGAATTATTATTGCGGAAGTTGCACATGCAAAAATGCACATTCCGTAACGCGCTATACGAAAATATAAATAAATAAAATTCCGTAATAAAGCATTGCGAAATAAAACTTGCAAAACAAATCATTTTGTAAGAATACTTACGAAATAGTTCCTTACGAAATAAGCGTTCCGGAATGTGCAGTTACGAAAAAGACGCAAAATATTTTATGTTACGATATATTTAAGATATTAACTGTTAACAGTTTAAATAATAAATAATAAAATTATAAAAAAATGTTGTTAAATGATTCTTCAAATGTTTATACAAATATAGCTAATATATATATATATATATATATATATATATATATATATATATATATATATATATATATATATATATATATATATATATATATATATATATATATATATATATATATATATATATATATATATATATATATATATATATATATATATACAGTAAAATCCAGTTAAGTTGGACAGATGAATCAATGAACAGATAAACAGTATGCCTTCCTTTTTAAAAAATATAAAGAGGATGTGTGATAAACAATTAAATACTTTATTATAAAGAACGAGAGATCTCTCTAAAGGTAAATGATATCAGAAAGAGTAAAAAGAGAAGAAATATATGTGAAACAGCGGGATGTGAACCTGGGTCTCCGCGGCCAAATGTCTTAACTGAATGAGCTATACGTTCATTCAACTAAGTGAATAGTAATATTTATTTATTATATTATTAAGAAACTTTATAAAACAGAATTTACAGAAAGAGATACGTATGCAAATAGGATTCTATATATCAGGAAAATGCATAGTAATGTAAACCTTTAGTTGCTTATAATTAATATCTGGACTCGAAAACTAGTTACTTTTAATGGAACACAATAGGCTGTAGGAGCCTCAGGGAAATTATATTCAGAAATGATTATATTAGACTCAGAGTTAGCTTGAAATTATTACAAAGTGTTTAGGACAGATGTCTAGTACAAAAAGCACAAGATTTAAAGCAAAATGATTTATATTATTTGAAAAAGTTGTTTTACGTACATTTCATCATAATTTAAGTAGAACTTAGTAAAGCAAGGGAAACGTGTAGAATTAAGCACAATGAACTCAATCTTAAAAGAATAACTAACAGAAGAGAGGTTGTCACTTTTATGAAGGTGACGAAAGATCTGTAATATAGAACATGGAGGTCAAAAAATGCTTTCTTAAGTAAAATGAGTTTGATGAACGAAAAATGGCTGCTGATTGAACTATACGATCTTATACTTAAATTTATATCTTATTAAAATTAAAAAACAATATTTTCTATGATCTATACTTCGAAAAGCGTATTCAAACAGGACTCTACATACCTTTAAAATCTGCTAGAGCTTTAGAAACATGCACACTTTTAGAAATTATTGAAATAGATATATTTTATCAGAAATATGCTAAAGCTAAAGCATATTTTTGAGCCTCTTTTTACTATTTGCTTAAGCATATTCAAACCTGTTTCAAAAATTTCATATGCTTTAAAAAAAAACATGTATATTCCTACCTCTCATTCTTATTTTTAAATACGTAAAAAGCATGTATATTCCTCCCTCATTCTTATTTTTAATATAAGTAATGAGTTCAAAAAACATCGTTATATATATATTTATTATGGCACGTTTCGTAAGTTTATTTCCGTTAAGATTTCTTTCGTATGTTGTGATCCGAAATACTTTCGTTTCGAAAGAAATTTTATTTTTTATCAATATTTCTAAAAATAAAACCATAAAAATTTAATATGTTATTATACTGAAAATAAAAATTCAATATAAACATTTTGGGATTTAAAGATGTTAATTTTTACAATTAAAATCAGTCTGGCAAACAAATTTTCTTTATAGACTTCAAAACGTCGTTTGGCGAAAATGTTTGTTTCGCAAGTGCGACTTCCGAAACCGCTACTTTCCTATGTTGCAAAATAGTTTTGTTTCGTATGTCAACTTGCGAAATGCTAAATTTCGGAAAAGGCTTTTGCGAAATGAACATCGGCGATTTTAAATGTTTTGTAACATTCGGTACGAAAAAATGTAATTCCTCGTTCTCAATCTCCTTACGAAAGAATGTTGTTTTTCCGGAATTGCACGAAATCCTCCGGTTAACAACCCTACACAAAAATCGAATTTTTCATTAGGGTTGTTTGCCGAAAAACAAAACTTGAGAAAATTTTGCATCTTTATCTACCGCGTAATAGAATCGTTTTTGCGGAAATTGCACATGCGAAAATGCACATTCCGTAAAGCACTATACGAAAACATAAATAAATAAAATTCCGTAATAACTCATTTCGAAAGTAGGTGTCACTCGGGGAGGGGGGGAAGGGGGGTGCCACTACATTTTGCCGACTAAAATTAAAAAAAAAAAAAAAATAGGTCCTCGTTTTCCAAAATTTGCCGACTGCAATGACGACATTTGCCGACTGTCTACATTACCGACTAACCTATATTGAAAGGGTAGACATTTGCCGACTAACTAGTCTAAAAGGGTCCAATTTGCCGACTAAAAATCATTGATGGGGGGTAGGGTAGGTGACACTCCTCCCCCCACACCCCCCTATCGCGCCGGCCTTGTATATATATATATATATATATATATATATATAAATATATATATATATATATATATATATATATATATATATATATATATATATATATATATATATATATATATATATATATATATATATATATATATATATATATATATATATCGATGGTTAAGAGCACAAAGGGAATACGTCCACTAACCATTGTTTTGAGAAATCTGAATTTGAAAGTTTGAAAACATACAATAATTCATGATATTTATTTAATGTTTTTTTTTTTTTCTGTTTTTAATTTTATTTTTTGTCAAGCAACCATTTACAATTAAAGGTAATTTCCGATAAAATATTAAAAATATTAAATGCAAGTACATTTCATTATTTATAATAGTTACAAGACCGGAGAACCTGAAAAAGATAAAATCTTATCATCAGTAACCTTTGATAATGAAAATTGGAAATAAAAGTGTAGTGTTAGAAAAAATTATGTTAAGAATCTTGATTGGCAATAAGTTCGATTATGTTCTTTTTAAATTTTTGAGAGGTATTGCCTTCTTTAAGTTTACCACTCAGGCTTGTAAAATAGCATTGTTACAATGCTATTTTACAAGCCTGAATGCTATGGAACTCAGGTTCCATAGCATTGGGCCACGATAGGAAATGGCAAATCTCGTAAGTTTTGATGTACGGTTTTTTAAATCTTCCGGTAGATCTTGTGTTCTATCGGTTTAATGTTTTATAAAAAATATTTTCGAAAACGTTTTGCGTTTTTTTTGATTGATGTTGAAACATAAATTGCGTAATTTTGAAAAATTTTAATTCATAAATATTAAGTGCCCTTATGCTTTATAGAAGAGGTTTAGCATTTGTAAAGCGATTTTGAAAATGAATAATGCGTGCTGCATGATTCTGTTGTTTAAGAAGACAGTTGAGTTTAGATTTATTTGTACTACCCCAAACAATATTGCCATAAGATAAATAACTATTTATGAATGCAAAATATAGTCTCAGCAGGCACACAACGTTGCACTAACGTTTTATGTTAAAATTGCGTTTTACGTTACTTAATGTTAATTCAACGTTGAGCCAACGTAATCTTTTTAAAGTAATATTCTTACGTTGAGCTAATTTTAGAAGCGTTTTTAAATTTTTGTTAAAACAACAAAAACAAAGCAGTGGCTGTGCTCCGCATGACCTAATTGGTGAAAGGCCCAGCAATTATAGGGGCCTTATTTGAAATTTTTAAGGAATTATTACAAAAATCAAGGATTTTTTCTTTAAGTAACCCATAATTAAAGGGTATTTTCAAAATTTTTTAGCCCTAATGACATGTTTTGGGAAGAGCCTCTGATTCACTAGCCACAACACTGGTTGTAAATTCGTTCTTAATTGTAAATGCGTTCTTAAATAAAGTTTTTTTTTTAATTGTTAAACTAAAAAATTTTTTGTCAAATAAAAATTATTTCTCATAATTACTTTTATTAGTTTATGTCTATGTAAAAAGTATATAAAAAAATGTTACAAACACTGATTATGTAATAAAGACTGACATTATTTTATTTTTATAAATATATTTGTTATTTATAGTATTATTTTATTTGTAGGATTGTAGTTTTTACAAAAAATTATTTTAAAATAACAAGTTAAAAATGTCTACTGCATAAAACTCAGATTCAACTTACTATTGTAAAAAAACAGGAATCCAAACACTTTTTTATAGCCAAAAAAAAAAGATTTTT